TGCATCTGTTATCATAGATCCCAATGCTTACAATATTGTAGAGATAATAAATGTTTCGAATAAGCTTTGTATTTTTTTTATCTTCACATACATCGATGAACACAGTAGTTTAATGTTCACATTTATGGGTTACTTTTGTAGAGCTATTGGAAATTTACCCATCGACATAGGTGTAAAGTGGTATTGTAAGTCCAACCGCTCCACAATTCAACCCATCTATCGGACCCCGAAATCCTCGCTGGTGAAAAACTGCCCGAGATTCTACGTCATGAAGTTCGAGTTGCAATGCAAACCATGAGAAGAAGTATAACCGTCAACTTCCATACAGCTTGAGGCTGCAAATTATATGTGCTTCCCCCAACTCACATAACATTTTACCTTCAAACAAGGAAATCCCAGTCCAGTAAAGGACTCCGTACTCGATCATCATTCCTGAGAAGGGTGACCGAAGAAATTTTCGTAAGTATCATCCAATATCCTTGCTGAATGTTCTCTACCAGCTGTTCACGAAGATTATCCTTTTTCACACATCGAAGACCTTGGATAAGGAATAACCTTTTCAGCAACCAGGATTCCGACGGAGACTTTGCTGTATAAACCACATCTAAACCATATTACTGGGTATACAACACCTGCTCCTTGAACAAACATTCATCGGCAACGAGAAATCGTTTGACAGTGTCAATACCAATGAAATCTTACCAGAGCTAGTCGACCAAGGAGTTGACCTGTCTTGTACACGGACGCTAAACAATTTTTATCAGAACTGCAGCAAAAATTACACAGCCTTTTTGCCGAACTCTCATCGTACCTATAGAGAGGACATTCGACAAAGAGTCATCTTATCACTAAAGCTGTTTACTGCTTAACCATAGTGGATGGTGAAGTCACTCGATTGGGACAATAATGGCATACATGTTTATGGAAACTTCCTAGCAAATCTTCTTTTCACAGACAAGTTCTCGTGGAGCACCAGTGAAACAGAGATGATTCTCAGCGAACTCGACGAAGCAGGAAAAATGATAGGGCTGGGCGCAGGACGAAGATTCAGTTCATGAGGAACCCATTCTACGAAGGCGAGCAAATCGAACTAGATGGTTTTCTCATTACAGAGACCACCTCGTACGTGTACCTTGGGAGTTCAGCGAACATGGAGAAGAACATAAGTAAGGAATTAGGTAGAAGAAAGAAAGCAGCATGAGGCGTATTTTAACCTCTCAAAGAAGCCACTGACCAACTAAAGGACCCAACACTCCCCGCTCACCTTTTCGATTTAGCAGAACTCTTATCGCTAAACAGTAACAACGTGAGTAGACACTTCAACCACATCAAGATTTTTGTGCACCACTCACAGTGCGCCTGAACAATTTGTTCTAAAATTTAACCAGTACTCACAACGTCTTTCTGAAATGCAAAGCCCAGATATTCGAAACCTATCCCGTCTTTGAGGTCCAGAAGAATGTACACCAAAAGCGAAACACATGGACCGTCCATGCAATAAGAAGAACGAATGACAGGTTGACGAAAAGAACAGTGAAGTGGACTCAAAGAGCATGTAGGAGTGCTCTCTCAAGATGGGCAGACGCGGTCGTGGCAACGCCAACCACTTCTATTCGCAGATGGAGACGATTTCTGCGCTGAGAAATGGGCCGTCGTGGACGTCACCATGTTCGAAGCCATCAGTATGGAAGAAGATTGCGCGAGAGAAAACGATTGGAAATAATACTGGGACTCGTATCAACGGTGAAGACGACACATGCGAATATCCAAATAAATAAAAGGACATTTTACGCGTTCTCATTTTAGTGCATTGTCAAACCGACTGTAGCATTTGGTTTGCCATGACTATTCATTTGCGAATAAGGACTTGAAACCATACATTTTGCTGATTCGAATTGCCTGAACTAGACGAACTCGGTTCATATACACATTACTTTTTCAACTTTAGAAGCACGCAGACTATAACTACAAAGCAACAGTTATTTTTGTGCTTGTGCATTGATCACAACCAGCTACTCCGTCAGCAAATTCGCGGTTTGTGGATGTGTGCCACTAACTACTATGTCGAATTTCATCAGTTGACATTTAAGCTCAGAAACACGTTTAGTTTTTTCATTTCCCCACAAAGGGCTTTAAGAAAAGGTATAAAGAGAAGGATAGAAGTAAAGTGAAATGTAGAATTTGTTTACGTTTCGAATTAATCCAAAACGAGCGCCGTCCATACCTAACCACCGTTGTGCCCTCTGCGCGATCACATTGATGCGATGTCAACGACGATCGTGCGTCGATAGGGTAGAGTGATGCGACCGATACACATATCTAACGACACCGAGAAATCCTTCCTGCACAACTACCTCTCTGCTTCCTTCTCGTGTTTACTATGTCGACCGACTTCTTCAACCCTAATCACTTTCCTGTAGATCATTTTATTATTCTAACCAGTGACAAACATGGTAGAAAAGGACACAAAAACACAGTCATTGAACTGTTATTGAAAAAGAATTACTACGGCCGCGGTAGATCAATCCCGGCGTTCTGTTGAAACAAAACATTACTTTCCTGAAAAATGTAAATGAAAATGTGACATGACCGCGATGAAAAGAGTAAATACTCATGTATTGAAATGACAAAGATTCGGCTCGTATTTGGTGCATATTCATTTCTTTAATGTAGGGAAATAGCGAAGTTATTCAACAAATCGATTCATAAGAAGATTCGCATATGGACCTTTTTTTACACAAACTTGAACGAGTAGAAAACGCCATCTGTCATATCCCACATATATCAGTGGATACGGTACAGAATAACAAACAACTTATTAGATATCGACCGTATTCACCAATAGCTCCGAATAATGCAATAGTGAATCGCAAATGTTTTAGCTTGTTGACTACAAAAACATTTGTACGATATACTGAGATAGTCAGTTGAGAATTGAATTGAAATTGAGAATTGAGAATTGAACGATACACTAGTTGATGACCTTGTGATTCTTTAGGGCAATGTAGGTGAAGCGATATCAAGAAATGACTCGCGGTGGCAAACAGATATATATATATATATATTACACGCACACACGCACCCACAAACACACACACACACACAAACAAACACACAACACACACACACACACAAACACACACAACACACACACACACACACACAAACACACACAACACACACATACACACACCATACACATCATCAGATGAAATGCTACGATCATCCAACGGCTCGAATAACACAGACACCAAGACAAGAACACCCGTAGACAATGACTAATTAAATAACGAATCCTTGCTTGAAGAATGGTTAAAAATAGAAGACCAGTGTCCACTTTTAACACTGAACGGCCACCACGTTTTACATGTTTTGCTCGGCTAACGTTTCGGCATGTCATCTTATCAATTTCAATCCTTGAGGGATGCGTCATGCATTCGACTTCGAAAGCTTCGTTAGACGTGAGTAAATGCATATCTGTTCTTTACAATGACTCACGTTGGTCTACTAATATAATGATTCGGTGCTGCTCTCCCCTCACGTAAGTCTGGCATCAATTTGCCGACCTCGGAGGGAAAGAAAGATTGGTGAGCTATAGGCGTGGGATCGATCCCATGTGTATTGCAGAGCGCCTCTGACCACTGCGCTAGACGCACCCATATTGATATATTGATACTTTATACTGAGGATAAGTGAAAGCCGGTGTATAACGAAAACAAAATAGAGTTGGTCATTATAGTACGTTGCCTGAAGCTTTCGAAGCTATAGTTGAATATTTCAAAACCGGCTTTCCCTTTACATCGGCATTACTAATCAACATGTATTCTCTCCTTGATAAGCTTACACGAGGTTGATAAACAATTTTTATTCGGTTAACGCTTCGGCGTATGGTCCCCTTCGTTTTGTTATGGGATTTTCGCCTTCGTGTCGAGTCAGGTATTCCTCAGCGGACCATCTCTCAAATGAGGCACACTCACTCTATGATGTTCTTTTATGCAGGATTCTAATAGTTGATAGTTTTGGTTGTCCGGTGATAGTAACTTGTTTTTCTCGGACAATCAATCCTTCAGAAGTCGGTATCATTATCAGCTGGCAAAGAGCAATAAAAATGTTTCAAAACCGACTTTCCTTTATTCTCGGCTCTACTAATCAACATGTCTTTCTTTGTACTCTAGTATTCTTTGCATTCTTTGTGCTTTTGTCAGTACTCCGGCAGTCCACTGATCACACTACCCGTGAAGTAATGTCAATCAAATCCTTGACGTCAACGTTTCATATATTGATAGATAAAAAACTGTCGATAGCTACATGAAGCGGTTTGTGCTGCAATTCACCGTCATTTTGTGCACCTAAGCATTCGGATCGAACAGGGAATGAAGGCGAATGCATGTGGCTTATGCAAAACCTGCGGTAGTGGTGCACCAAAAGTAGCCTTTCTTTCATTACTTTCAGTGTGAACCATACTCCATGATTAACTACTGTTATGAATAGTTCCCAGGATCGACTTTCTATTAACCTCGGCATTGGAATATGAATGTGTCGTTTTCTTGTTCAGCAATCGCGAGGCTTTTAAACAGCATACATTTACTTCCATAGAAAAACACGATGCAATACAACACTAGCTGATGTTTCGGCAGTATCGCCTTCTTCAGAGCCGCTTTTTCGTGACTTCCAATGAGGAAGTTTAGAACAGCTGATTATAGTTGCATGTGGTTGACGACTCAAGTGTTGTATTGTATCGTGTTTTTCTATGGAAGTAAATGTATGCTGTTTAAAAACCACGCGATTGCTGAACAAGAAAACGGCTGTTATGAATGTTCAAAACATTTTCACGTTTAATTCCAGATACCGCATATCATCAGCCAATAGGCGAAGTGTTTACACAGCGGTTGCTAGCGCCAGCGTGTAAAACCGTTGATATGGCGCGATAACGATGATGCGAGCCTATAAAAGCGAAGGGAGAGACTTACTATCATTAGCTGACAGCAAACTTCACCATCATGTGCGACGACGAAGCTCCGGCTATGGTAATCGACAACGGTTCCGGAATGTGTAAAGTGAGCGTGCGTTTGCTATTATTTTGCTAACATTTCTTTATTCAACACTTTTACAGTGGTAAGTAGTTGAACGTCTACTAAATGTAAGTGGTGACCGAAATGTTGGAACTTTGATCACAACTATTCGTATTGCTCAGCCGTTTTCTTCCGCAATATTCTTATAACACTTCGATTCACCCCCAGTACCATTATGACGCGACCTCTCATTATTTCTCTTCGTTAAAATTTCTACGACCAAAAGTTGAAAGGAAACATTTTTCACGTCATTTTTTTTGGAGAAACTTCATACTCGGTATATTAACCGTGAAAATGCAGCGGGTCGACTCGTCGTTCAAATACGTCTTCCCGAGCAACGACTCAAATACATTGAGACTAGACGCATCTCTTTCGGATTTTTTTCGTAGTACGTCCTCAGATACTTACTGCGTATGCTATTAAACCCTTCCCAATGATGGGTTTTCTGTGAGGGTTCTGCAAGTCAAGGGCATTGTGCTGCTGAAGTGGGTATGCCTGTTCAGAGCAGAAGGCAAAACAAGAGCGTTATTTGCTTATTACACAGCACTACGCTTTTAACTTCTTAAAAGAGATCGCGTCGACTTACATACCCACGAAAGTCGATTAGTTCACCAAGTTTGACGAGTAGTGTGATTCTACCTGTTTACCTTATAGCACCAGATCTATTGTTGTCAATCTTAAAATGCACGTGGAACACACATTGAGCGGTTGATAGAGGTTCTGTAGCCAATGGAAACATTGAAATGACGTCAGATCACAAATATTTCAAACTTAGAAACTTTGAAAGTTTAAAGGTCTTTTATCAAATATGATTTGATAAAAGCTGTTAATGCTTGTTAAGACCTTCTAGTTAGGATTTTAAAGAAGTGACCACTTTTAGGCAGGTTTCTCTGGAGAGGAGACTCCACGTTCTGTTCTCCCATCAATCGTAGGGCGTCCTCGTCAACAGGAGCTCATGGTTAGATTGGTACGTAGGGACACCTATGTTGGAGACGAGGCTCAGACTAGAAGAGGTTGAGTTAGCGATTCCTTTTGTAGTCGCGTTTCAGTTGTCTGCCCAACACTATTTCCTTATTTTTTTCGCATCTTTAGGGCTGCTTACCTTGAGTTATCCCATAGATCATGGCGTCGTCACGAATTGGGATGACATGGAGCAGATCTGGCACCACGTGTTTTACAATGAGCTTCGTATCGCTCCTGAAGACCATCCCGTGCTTCTAACTGAAAGACCGTTTAACCCTAAAGCTAATCGAGAGAAAATGACACAGATCATGTTTGAGAGTTTTAATACTCCCGGTATGTACATAGCCATCCAAGCTGTACTGTCCTTATACGCTTCCGGGCGTACCACTGGAGTAGTTCTGGACTCCGGAGATGGAGTCACTCACACCGTCCCTATAAATGAGGTAAATTCTTGCTGGTAATTTACTAGATTATCTCTTCACTTGATGTTCCAGGGATACGCTATATCCCATGCAACCTTCCGTCTTAACGTTGCGGGTAGTCAACTAACTGACTACATGGCGAGGATTCTCACTGAACAAGGCTACTGGTTCACCACCACTTCAGAGCTTGAAATTGTCCGCGAACTTAAAGAAAAATTGTGCTACACAGCTCTAGATTTTGAAAAGGAATTGTCCACGGCTTCCTCGTCATCCTCTACCCACACGTCGTTTTCGCTTCCCGATGGAAAATTAATTTCCGTTGGAGCCGAGCGTTTTCGATGCACTGAAGCTCTCTTCCAGGTGTGTCCATTAGAATGTGATTTTTCGTTGCTTTGAATAAGTAGGACGATTTTTTTAGCCATCACTACTCGGAGTAGAAGCTCCTGGTGTCCATGAAACTGCCTTTAACTCGGTTATGAGATGCACTACTGACATCCGAAAAGATCTGTGGGCCAACACTGTTCTGACGGGAGGAAACACCTTGTTTCCCGGCCTTCCTGAGCGCATGGACAAAGAATTGACTGCTCTAGTTCCTATGTCTGTAGTTTTTTCGTAGGAATAACCCGCTCATATATTACTTTACCTGCTTAGATTCTGTGAAGATTTCTTTTCCAGGTCGATGAATGTGAGGATCATTGCCCCTCCTGATCGTAAATATTCAGTCTGGATGGGTGGATCTGTTCTGGCCTCTTTGCCAACCTTCCGGGAAATGTGGGTCACAAGGGACGAGTACCATGAAAATGGACCCACCATTGTTCACCGAAAGTGCTTCTGAAGGGTGCACCTTCGCTAGTGAAATGGGCTGAGGTGCAACAATAAATAGATTTCGGTGTGCCTCGAGTATTTGATTGGTGGACTAGCGAAATATTGCTCATGCCTAGTCACACAACTGGCGTCCCAATATTGTCTTTTTTTCTCTTTCTTTCCTATTTTCGCCAATGTTTAATCCTTATTAAAGCTTTATTTAAAATAAACACAGACACAAATATCTCTTGCGATTATTTAAAACATTTGAGCCGATGCTGGTATGTCGATAACCAGAGCAAATGACGAATTCAGAACTTGGAAAAAAGAAGGCACTTTGCAATGCTTTCCTAACTAACTTTTTCCAAAATATTAACTTTACTTCAAATTGTTTGCAGTATCAGAAACATCGTTTGCAAAAAGCCGAATGCAAAATTTGAATGCTTAAACAATTGCCACAGTACCGACAGCGACAGATATCAACGGTGCAGTCGGAGACACCACGACGTTCTGCTTGGCGAGATCCCACTTGTTCAGTCACATCAGAGACTTGTGCACTCTAATAGACTGGAATCGGTGTGAATTGCGAGAACTTGTACGTTGTTGGTAAGGATCAAAAGGTTATAATGGTTCTTCGCCCCAATTAGTAAATCTTCCCAAAGGTTGATTGAGATACTCAATTGGATACTTGGATGACCCGTCCTCACTGGTTCTGCAGGCCCCAGCACAACCCCTATTTTTCGGAGTTTTGTTGTTGGGCCAGAGGGAGATTGGCCACCATGCGACTAGTTTGGTACCAGGATGGTGGTGGACCTTGGCATTGGTTTACTCTTAGCAGAGGTTCTTGATGGAAACGCCAGACCTCTTCTCATCTTGGGAAACCTTGTCAGGAGGATGAATACTCCCACTGTACATCGCAGTGCGGCACCCAGGAACACCTCCTAGCCACGATGAGGCGGCAAATCGTTGAGAAGCATATGTTCAGATATGTTTAGATTTGACATAATTGTTACCGCGCTGCGAAAAGGTAGAGTTGTGCAATTATCCAAGGTTCAGCGGCTAGCCAGAATTGTAGTTTTTTGTTCACTGCGACGTCAAACTATCTTATAGCTTCAGAGGACATCGTTGGTTTTTTTCGATGAGTGTTTGTTATCGGGTTTTGCAATGTAATGAGTTTCAAATTAAACGCAACTAGCTCGCGACTAGTTACATTACGAAAAGAGAAACTGTCAATTCCTGGCTTTCTGAGTTTACTTAGATTTCTGTTTAGATGTACTCAAAATGTGTAGAACTACTTAAATAGAGATTTAACAAAAGAAAAGCAAAGCAAAAGCAAAAACAACACCAAGCAAAACCAAAACAACAAAAAAGAGATTTTAGAGGAGATTGTGAGATTCAGTAAATTTTTCGAAAAATGCTATTTTCGTGTTCATGCATGTTATTTACTTCTCCCCAGGACCTAGTCGTTGCCACTATTTTAAGCATTTCTCATCACACGTCGTCTATAACATTTGTGCTCTCGTGATCCATCGAACAACTCTCATTAGATTATGATTCCACCCATAGTTCGTCACTGTTTCGAGCTTCGTGTACGCTGATCCTTCAAGGGACACGAGGAATTTCATATCATTTGTGAGTGTATCTGTGGAGTAAAACATTCCGGTTAGCTGCCAATAATGTGTGAGTGAACTAGAATGTGAAACCCAGCTGCTAACGGTTCTCACTTACAGCAGTTCACTTAGCAATTGTATCAAAGTTCATCTACGTCTGTTCCCACCATGTTTGCTCCATGATACATAGAATTTTCAGTTGATCCAGTGATTAATAACGCCAACAGCACTATCGTACCACTTACATACCTTCCAGCATACAAGGTGTACACTGAAAAGAGCACCCTGAAATCATAGAGGTGTTATGGAGGAGAACGTTATCTGTTTACTTCACTGTTTCTCCCATGCATTACGTGCAAGCTCAACCGATCTCCTCTGATTTCAACCTACGTGACACGTTGATTTCACATTATAGACGAATATAGCCTGAGTTTTTATTCTGCTTCCTGATGCTTCACAGTTTCGAATGATGTGCTTAGAAGAGGTTTATCCACAATGTGAACAAACTAAGTTCGACGTATCATCGAGAATTCAGATAAAAGCAAACGAATGCCAGGAAGCATCGAGTTTCTCGAGGAAGCATAGTGGCATGGAGGAAAATTTGGCTCTGATCCACAAGACTGACGATCGACCAGGCTGAGGGCCTCAGACCCTTCGCCAAAGGTAAGAACTGTGGGCCAGAACAACACGCACATGATTAACCATGTGGACTATTTCTTGTTCTCTAACTACAACGTAAAAACTTTGTTTTCAAACAAAGACTTACACGCTTTTTTAACGTAATTTGCAGTGAAATCCGATGGAAACTTGTCTCAAGAGCAGAAAAGCAAGTTGGTCGAAGTATATCAGTTAAACAACGTAACTCATGTTATTCGAGCAAATAACATTCCGTAACGAAATACCAACGCGTAGGTTTGTCGTACAACCGCAGGTTGCATTTTTGTCTCGACGACCCATTAACCAACTTCCTACCTTGATTGGCTATACATTTTCTTCCACCTCTCTGACAAATAAAGGTCATTATAACCAACTGCTGCACTCCAAGTTGTGGAGTTGATGAAGCGATTTCGAGATGTTCTGCCATAAGACGGGAAAGTGACCTGTTTTGGCAGGTCTTTTTCTGAAAATTTGCTGTTGAAGAGGTTAAGCCAAAATAAGAAAAGTGGAGAAGTTAAACACAGTGTCGAGAAATCTGCAAGCTCAAGTCGAGATGAGAGCGAAAACCCTCTTGTTAAACTGTCTCTTAAGTAGAAATTCATTCTTCGAAGGTAACCGTTAGGCATCCGAATCCCCTAATTGTACCCACTATTATGGTGAAGGCCGCGTGTGGCACAGTGGTTGGAGGCGGCACTGCGACACACGTGGAATCGATCCCCGTGCCCATGGCCCACCAAGCCTTCTATCCCTTGGGGGCGGTAAATTGGTACCAGACTTGTCTGGGAGAATAGCAGCACTGGCTCGATACATAGGCAGGCCACGGCGAGTCATTGTAAAGGTCAGATATGCATTCATCACCTCCAACGATACTTAATGATGTCGAATGCATTGCGCATCCCTTAGGGATTGATCAACGTCGAGACCTTTACCCTTTATTATGGCGAAGGCCAATTTCATTCTTACAAATAGAAGATCCTGCCATTAAGAGGAAAAAGGCAGTAAATAAAAGAGTTAAGATTGTGATTATAACTAAGCCTCAGCTTAACTGGGTTCAATGCCGATATTGGTTCCCCAGATCAATCACGTTGACGGGTGATTGCTGTTGGCAAAAAGATCGATAGAACTAGCTGAGAGACATGCAAAGCGAAGTACCCGGATGGTGCAGTGGTGAAGTGCGCTGCTCCCCGGTAAGGACAACAGTGCGTGTTCGTTCTCCATTGCATATGCCTGTGGTCCGGAGTTTTGCAAATATCTCAGCATATCATAGAAGATGGTGCATTGCTTAGAACTATATGATGCCAGAACTCTCTTGGCAGTAAGAAGACCGTCTTCTTTGTGGGAAGATTCAGTTCACCCGTAAGCTAAAAAGAAATACATCATTACGGAATGAAACCTCTCCCTCACTTACTATTAATTGTCAACCGAGGACATGGCGCGCTTGTCGGTGAAATCGAAAGTTGTGTTAAATACACCTTAATTCTTCAAGCAAGAAATTTGGATCGCTTATCCAACACACTAACGAGTTTTTTTTAAGAAGGTAATAAACAAGGCTCTCGAAATAAGGCCTTGATATGGACGGAAGCGAATAGTGCAATGGCAAATATTCCTTTCTGCAAAGCAAAGCCCTGGTTCAGCAACACACTAGGTCAAAAGTGCACCCCATTAATCCGGGTTAAGGAAGTTGTTATCAGGCTTTTCAGGGCGAACTCCCTCTTCTCCTCAAAGGTTGGCAGCTATCCGTGGTGAACGCTTCGGAACGCCATGAAGAATGAAATCGAATGGGAAACGCGGTGGCGTCTTGACGATGTGTGATATTGGCTTTTGCAAAAACGAATTGCTTAAATACCAGCAAGTGGAGGTCTTTCAGGAAGATACCTACAGTAGAATACAATGCATTAACGTTCTTCCAGTGTTCCGTCCTTAGGTTGACATGTGGGTAAAACATCAACCATGTAAAGAATACTACAAATCTATAGAGTGCTTAAATAATCTTGTTAACACATCCTGACCTATTAAGAGCTATTTGTGAGGGTGCATTGTGGCCAGTGTAGACTGTGTGGAGGTATCTTTCTACCTGATGGTTTACTTTTGCACATAGAATCCTCCTTGTCTTAATGCAACGAATCGTTAGCTTATCCAGGAGCGATATTGTCTGGTCGCGAGCAGGAAAAGCTCCATTTTCTATCTTGAAACATACAGAAAACTTTCTCTTGAACGAGTTCATTGGGTGGTGCTATTATTTTAATTTTATTCCTCACGTATAGTCGATTTTGTCATATGAAATGCGTGGATATAAAAAATGCCGGAATATATTCAGGATTGTATCCTAATAAATTCTATAACACCCATTTCGTGTCTGCTTATTAAAGAAAAACATGGAATTATATTCAGGATAATCTGCAAGACTTCGGGATTCTGACATATGTATATGATGGACTACAGTAGCATATAGCGTGTTGTACCAACCATACCAGTAATACCTAAGCAGGAATAGAGCAGAAATCTCTTCCATAATTCTGTAATGCTCTTAACAAGCCCTCTGGTTCTCGAAGAGTCATCATCTTGTTTTAAAAATTATGTCCGTAGCGAATGAAAACAAACGTCGTGCCGTGCAGTAGCTGTACAATATCGGAAGTTGTCACGATTGCATTAGATATAACTGCCAACATGAAATAAGTGAGGGAAGTAGCTCAGAGCCTCCCTCGATGTGCACATCAATCCGGAAAGGTAGATCCTAAACAAGCAATTGGTGCAAGTTGGTGTCAATATCCGAGTATACAGTCGGCTGGCGATGATGAATCTTCGCTTTGATAAATTATCCTTATTTTTGATAACTCACGCAATGTTGTCATTTTTTAAAGAAGAACAATCGTGTTGTCCTTACATGCTCTTCTTATTATCCGTGATTGTACCGATCCAACATTCTCAGTGCAGCAAATTTTTCATGCATACCTTCTTGCGGAAGAAGTGAAACTTAAAAACCTCACGCAAAAAACGTGATGCAGTTCTACATACTCCGTTATCGAAAAGTTGGCATCCTAGCGGATGTCGTTCAAGAGCGGCAGAAGGAGCTTTCATTGGTACTTGGTCGGGTTGTCACAGAACGGATTACCACAGTTACCAATGCTTCCTGGGTGTCATTCAGCGAAGAAGTCATGGGCCTGTAGTTGATTAGGTTTCCTTCATACAGTGTGCCTCTCCAGTGATAAAAGAATCAATGATAACCATAACAATGACATGTGCAATGGAATGTGTTATTTGTTACATAGTTAAAAATAACCATCTGTTTGTGGTGTAAAAAAAAAACTAAAACGCATTAACAAGCTAGTCATTTACACATTCAGTTGTTTTTTAACCAGTGTCTTTGTGCTTATGCGCCGTTGTTGTAGGCATCAGCGGAAGACCATGTCTGCCAAAGAAATTTCGTAGCTAATTTGCGTTTTACTATACATACATATACTGCAGCCGAAAAACATATATTTTCCACATTCATGGCTGGTCTTACATTATAATGTGATATCGGTGTTCATTCAGCATGTGGTGGGAACCTTCGTATATAATGGCATCTACTACTCGTTGTAACAGTGTGACTAAGTGCTAGTGAATCTGTGTAAGTTAAGCCAATGAAAAGGATGCATTTAACTTTCTGAATTAGAGGTGAATGAAAGCATACCCGGTCTATGCAATGAGTTGCGGTGTCCGACGATGTACCAAATCAGTGCTGCTGTCCTCCTCGACAAGCCTGATAACGATCTGCGGGATCCGGAATGATGGAATGCTTAGTGAAGTCCGGAAACGGGATCGAACCAATGATCCACATGTGTATTGTAGGCGTATATTTGCTCACTGCGTTACACGCGAATTTGACTCACACAGTATTGTTATGTCCGGTGTGCTAGTTAATTTTTAGGTATGGTTTGGTTTATGGAAAACCGTTTATATAAGAGACTAAAAACAATGTTTCCGATTCTATTTCCTTCTTATATTCCAGGAGTCCTGATTTGCTTCTGATGTTTATGGATTTCTAGACAAACGACAGGGTCTATATTATCGGCCACCTTCCTCCACTCGTTAAAAACATCCCAATACATAGATCTAAAGCCACCATAAGCGTTCGCAGCCAATTTTTAGGTCAATTCACTTCGTTGGAAATGATTTCTTGCGAATGTGTAGCTGTAGTAACACACTTCGTACTCGACTACTCGTCTCATTGCATTTTTGATGCAGAAACCTTCACATTTCATTTGTGGTTGCTGTCTGAAGAGTTTTCGATTTATTTTGATCGACACACTAAAGAAGAATCTCTCGACAAAATACTCATTCTGTGGCAGAACCACTGCGAAGAAGGCAAATGCGCGCCAATCCGTAGCCGCGACGCCACGGCGCTGCGAGCACGGCTCGGACGTGAGGGCCCACTTCTTCATGTAGTGGATGGCACGGTAATAGACCACTTCCAGGCCAGGTCAGGATCAACGTGTCTACAGAATCGGCCACTTCCTTCATATTTTCTATTAATATAGAGAGGACGTTAACTGAACTGGTCATTTCATAATGTTATGTGCTCGCCCTATCTAGAAATTGCTGCTGTTCTTCCTTCATATGTTTTGGTTTATCAGCACGGATATTTTCATTAAAAAGTGGATAAGTTTCAGAAGAGTAATGTTAACTTTGTGGGTAATTACTCTCACATCCACCGTAGTGTCGAGTAATTTGTTGAGTGGTGGAATTCTTACGGAAACTGTACCGCTTCGATCAAAAACTGTAAGCAAAGATTTCTATTCTTCTATTGCGTTTCTTAATTTTGCAGCTCGGTTAATTCGCATTATTTTCCAGTGCTCTTATATGATTAGGAAGTGCTTTTTTCATTATTAGCAGTAATGAACAGATACAAATACTCTCCTTCCAACGGCTTACCGCCTCATCGTGACATCGTGACTAGAGGTGTTCCTGGGTGTCGTGCTGCGATATACAGCGGGGGATTCAACTCCTCACTTAGCAGGGTCTCCCAAGCTGAGAAGGGGTTCGCCGTTTTCATCAGGAAACCCAGCTAGGAGTAAACCAATACCAGGATTCACCACCGTCCTGGTATCAAACTGTTCGCATAGTGTTTCGCAAATTGTTAATCTCCCTGTGATCCACAAGTACAGCGACTGCCTGTGGTGGTGACGGCCTAGGCAGACTTTGGCCAGGCTGACCTTGGGACTCCAGAAAGACGATGGCTGAGCCAATAGAACTCCGAAAAATGGAAAATATGTGTAGCCCACACAACTAGTGAGGACGGACCGTCCAAGTCCCAGTAAGTAAGTATAAAGTACCCTTAAGACCCGAAGTACCTTGAAAGAGAACACTGAATCATCAGTCAATGCCGAGGTTAATAGGAAGTCGTTCTTAGGAATTGCTATGTGCTCTAAGTTCCGTTGCGGTGCATCTCTGCTCCAGTTGGCTGGATTCATGCTAGTTGGTTTAGAATAAAATTTGGAAAAATTGAGTTCTTTAGAAGTGTGAGATAGGCCCTCTTTCAAACACAGTGTTTTTATGTTGAGGAAAATGCTTAGAAATTTTTGGGATTTTTTTCGGTTAGTTAAGCTTTCAGTGATCGAAACTCATGAGTTGTGTTACCCAAAATTGAAAAACTTTTGAGCAGGTGAAGTCTCAACTAAACTTCAAACCTAAAAATTGCAGTATCAAATGATCGGCTTTGCTCAGTCCGCTTTAAATCAGACAGAAGTTGAGATCCGATTGGCATGTGTGAGCTATGATATTGACATGACCTTCCAGGTAATATTTTAGCACTAATTTATTTCAGTGTAGCTACTTTTGCTCACTTTCACACTTATTATTCTTTCTCAAGGTACAATACGTTCTACGTTCGTCTCCTTGTGATAAGGAGTTCTTCGATGCTAAAAGAGCAGATAATCTGAAAAAGTTATTGGTGAGGTTTTTCTTCGAGATGTTATGAATTCTTTAGAATGACAATGGTATGCTATTTTGTTACTACTTTGCTTGTCTGTGTAAGATTAACTTACGTAAACTCGTCGAGCTTTATAGGCTGGATGATTTTCAGACGTTCTATTTTGATGATTTGGACCATATTCCGGATACGTATGACTATGACAAAATAGTGTTCTACAAGTCTAAGGCTCACAACTATTCTTGTAAGGTTAGTAGAAACTTGCGCTGACTTTATCTAGAAGAACTCATTTTGCTGTGTGCTCTTGTTTTTTTTAATATCTAGAATCGCAGTTGGACAAGACTCGTTGATTAAGTTTTTAAGTGATGTGAGGGAGACTTTACACTCTAGTTGGGGTTATATCTAAACAATTTCATGGAAGTTATCGCTAGGAGGTTCATTTTTAAAATATGGCTCTAGGTGGTTATGTAACAAGTGGCATCAGCAACAGTAGGTGTTAATTGAAGAGCACTCTTGTTTTTTTTCTTACTGTGATTAGTTATTAGTGCAAGGCATATCTGAAGGCACATCGAACTTTTTATTTACTGGGTGTTATTGATGTCCAAGAAAAGCAGAGCAGCAATATCCAATATAACCATAATGATGCTGAGATATCTGCAAAACTCGGAACACCAGTTGAGCTTCGAACTCTCGACCGCCTTTTCCGGGGACTCACGTGTTACTCACTGCCTTACCGATATTGTTGCTCTGCTTTTCTTGGACATCAATAGTGCAGTGGTTCACTGAGCTCCCGGAAGCAGTGATCAAAGGTTCGAAACTTACCTGGTGTTCTGTGCTCTGCAGATATCTCGCAATCATTGTTGTTATACTCGAAGCGTCTAATTTTTAATGAAATCTCTACTCATCTGAGTGGTGTTTGTAATCTTCATCATTCCACCCTCTCTTACAGAGCTCTCATGGTTCGATAATTTTCTCTGAGCCTGAGCCTCACCCTATAATGGTTAGAAATGTTTCTAGTTTGGTAGGTACATTTACTTTTCATTGTTATTCATTGTTAATTTTTTTATTTTGCATGGCCTGTCATCATATCTATTGTGTGGGTCTCAGGATTTCTTGCACTCGATTCGTTTACCTCGCATTCATCATTCACAATGTTCTTCAAACACTTCGCATGTTTTAACCTTTTTCATTTGCTGCCTATTCTTTTTAACAGCAGGGCATGTTGCGAAATATAACTTCTATATTACTGAGATAAATTGTTGATGGCAAAAGATGGATAGAACTAGCTGAGAGACAGGCGAAACGAAGGACCCGCATTCTGTGGTGGTGAGAGCATTACTCCCCGGAAACGACAATAGCGTGTTCGTTCCCCACCGTAAGCACCTGCAGTCCGGAGTTTTGCAAATATCTCAGCATTATAGAAGTTATCGCACGTTGTTTCCGTTGGGAGTGGGGGCTCGAACTAGCACCTTGCTTCCTGATGGACCACGTGACGAACTACTGTGCTAATCCTCGCATCCCTATCACTGTTGATTTAATAGTAAGTTGTGCTGTTCTAGGTTACACTACGCACAAAGAGAAGTGAAGTTGGTGAGCTAAATTCTGCGTCTTTGTCGTGAGTCTTATATTTGCTTAAACATCTCAAATATTAAAAAAAAATCAAGGATTTCAATAATACAATTTAGCTCTTGGCATCCTACCCAAAAAGTTCCAGCCGATGCGATTTACTTTCTTGTAATGAAGGTGAATTATATACAATGTAGTCACTTTTAATTTACGCCTGTTGTTTTTTCACAGGAGGTGATGAGAAGTATAAGCATAATTATGCTGAGATATTTGCAAAATGCCGGACCCCAGACGCCTGCGGTGGGGGTCGCACACGCTGTTGCCCTTTCTCAGGGTCTTCACCACCGCGCCATGCGCGTCCTTCGTTTCGGCTTTGTCTCTTCCGTATTTTAACCTATAGTTGCTATCAGCAATCACCCATCGACGGGATTGATTTTGGGAGCACTGTGAGATGGACGAAACGAAAGTTTCGCATGGTGTGGCGGTGAACGCGTTGGTTCGGGAAGAGTAATACCGAGTTCGATCCCCACCGGAAACAACTGCACACCGTAGTTTTGCAGATATCTCAGCATCACTTTGGCTTCATGCATTGTTCATAGTTTTTGAATGGGTGAATGCATTGTTGTTCATAGATTATTGGTGTTGCTTACTCGCCGAACTCTCTTGTTGATCAACATAACGTCACTGTTACCGTGAAATGGAAGCAACCACATGGATTTCTCAGTGCCATTGACTTTCCGTTGCTCAGGTATAGTTCTTATTAAGCAGATTTAATACAGGTAGTTCAATTCTTTTTATTTCGTACTTTTTCTATACGATCCGTCTTCACGTCTACCATGCGGATCCCACCACTTTTCACATTTGATTCATTTCCTGGTACCTACGAAAGTTCCGCAACTTTTACGTGTGGCCTCGGCTGCTGTCTTAAGCTGTTAATTTCATCTTGAATGTCATGGAATGCTGGTCGATTTGTTTCTCCTTGGAGTCCTGAGATAGCCGGATTGGATCGTTCCCAATTGGTTTGCAGAAAGTGAAGCTTTCCCAGACAAGTTCGTTGCTAGTTTCCCGACCACGGAGGGATGAGGGGCTTGTGAGCCTGGGGCGCAATCAAGCCACCACCTTGTTCGTGATGACGACATTACTACCGCTGTGTTGTTCGTCCCCTACTTCTTACTTCTTACTTTAGGTTCTACGTATTAATGTGTGTTTTTTATTCGGCACTAGCTTTTGTCTGGATGGTTCTCTGCATTAGATATTACAAAGATATCTTAAGAATCCAATATTGGATAGGTATGTTGCATATTATATTGACACCACTTTATTTCCCATATGGATGTGTAGCGATGCCTTATTTTACTTATTCAGGTGCTGTGATAATTCTTGGAATGGTTGAGAAGGCGTTTTTCCTAGCGGAGTATTCGGCAATGAATACTACCGGTCACAGTGTTGAAGGTATTCTGGAGGTTAGATTTATGCCATTTAAACGTAGTGTTTCTTGGTTTTCTCTTATTAGTGATAGTTCAGTTAGTTTTGAGTTCAGCTTGCTGAATTAGTTTCTTGTGCTAAGAGGACAATGTCTCGTGTGCTTGTGATAATAGTGTCGGTTGGGTACGGTGTTGTGAAACCTCGCCTTGGAAACACTCTGAGTCAGGTATTTTATCCGAGTGCATAACCATTCTCTTAGTTGTCTCGATGGGAGATATCAATTTCAGTGTCGTGTTTTATGTCAAAGCCGCTAAATGCCAATACCAGTCGATTTTTCCTTCCATCGAAATTTCTAAATTAACGAGAAATAAGCATAGATGAAATGGTAATGTAAAGCACACCAGTACTGAGAGTGTTCTACGAACAACTTTTACGAGACATTTAGCTGGGGACGAAACTCGAAGACCATATTTTGTTGTTGTATATTTTTACCAAAGATATTTCATCATTACGAGTAAATGCGGCCTAAATTACCTTGGTAATTTTCGTTCACTAGCAAAGAGATATATCAACCAATATTGAAGAGCTCAAATTTGTTTTGGTAATAGTTTTACGTCTTCAGTTAGTCGACCACAAAAGCCGTTTCAAGTACTGCTGTAGTGCTGTAGGTATTGTTCTAACAGTTTCAGCATTTCCGTCATCGTAAGCTCTTTCCATGGTCTTTTAACCATGAGAACATTTTCGTTTGTTCTATGAAATGATTTCGGTGATATCCTTAGATTTCCGTCAGAATTGAAGTGGAAAAGTGCAGTCACTTCGCTTTTCTGTTAAAACGTTTTTTTCGTAATTGAGTTTGATAGCTATAAAGCTCGTTTTATGCTCTTACTTAGTGTGTTTTTCCACGTATACTGAAAATGTTGGTTGATAAATCTGTGCACAGCTTCTCTGGTTCTCATTGCCCGAGGAGTAGAATACAAATCGTTTCGTTTAATCTTAGGTCGCTGGTGTCGGCTTGGTGTATTTCGTATTTTGTGCCATTGAAGGGCTTGCTCGCGTGTCGAAGGTGAGTTGTTTTGGGTGATTCTGATGCAGAACATTGGCTTGCGCATTCATGATATTGCGCACCGATGTGTGCACCCGGTAGTAATTTAACATCTTACACGCCCTCTTATATGTACAACTTCCTACATACTTCAGGTCGTCAAAACTTCACTAGTTGACATAGAAACCGTAAAGGTTTACAGGTCTTAGCTAGTAAGATACAGTCCTTTTTCTTCTTCGAGTACGTAACTTTTTCTGAATCTCAAAGTCTTTCTTTTCGTAGCAAATCCCACGGCTGACTTACTCCTCTGCATTGATCAATAATTCAGTTTTCTCGATGAGTAAACACGTGGTTGACATTACAGTATTTATTCATTCACCATAGCTGACATTTCGGCGGTTTCGCCTTTTTTAGAGCCTGGAAAGTCAAATTGACAAACTATTCAGTCAAACATTTTCACAACCTAAGCGGATAGAACATAGTGCGTAATTTTTTCCCCGCCTTTTTTTTTGAACACTGTCATATTTGGGAGGTAGAAGTAAAGCGACGTTCCCATCAGAAATTTTAAAAATCCTCTTTTTTCGGAAACTCCAACCTTAAGCAAATTTACTCATATACCCTTGGAGCGACAGACTAGAACCTCTTCGATGTACTTGTGAACTTTTGAACCCTTCAAGTATTAGTTGTCAAGAAATCATCAACAATTTTCGAAAAACCGGCATTGTTGCCTATGTGTTTTAATGGAATATCTTTCCTTAGTTTATCGTGCAGGCTTTTTTAAAAATGTTTTGTTTATGAAGAATCATATCGAAGCAGCAAAGCAGAAGCAGTTTGCTGCTTTACCATTGGTCATAACTGAGATCGTCATTTTTTATTGGATCTTCACTTCGCTTGGTTCAACAATGCGAACCCTCAAATTGAGGAGAAACGAGGTAATTTAATGTTAGGAGCAAGACATATTGGGGATTTATACTTAACTTGCAAAGTCCTTGTTTAAAAACTTCATGTTAAAAGCAGTTCATTTTATAATTTCAGGTAAAACTCACCGTTTATCGGCATTTTATGAACACACTTGTTTTTGCCGTTATAGCATCTGTTATTTTTATGGTGTGGAGTTTAGTGTACCATATTTTTCCCACCTGCTTGAAAAACTGGAAGGAACTGTATGTTGTTCAACTTCAAATTTCTCAAAGCATCTTAGATTTCTTACATTAAGGTACTCTATTTGCTAAATATAATTTCTTATCTTTTTTATAATCGCGCTATTAGAACTCTTTTCTCTTTTACGAATGTGAAGATGGATCTTAAAACTAAATTTGTCTGCTTGGTGTTCCATATAATATGCCTGAGAAAGATGATGAAATCACATCCAGTTCTGTATCGTGCATATTATCCGATTTCGTCTTTTCTTTTGTCTTTAAGTATGTGAGCACAAGTTTTTTTTGCTCGTTCAAGGAACGAAACAACGCTTTGGAGTTCGTTGGTGATTTCTGTATTTGCAAATAGTGAGCCGCTTTCCAATCATATTCGCTGTATTTCAGTGAACACTTAACATTATTGTTAGCAGTCATTTTTGAAATTGTTTAAAAAGAAAGTATTCGCATCGTAGATCTCTGATGATCCATGCGCATATAAAGTTGTACGTTTAGGTGGGTGGACACCGCATTTTGGCACGTTCTTTTCTGTTTCATTCTTGTTGTGATTGTAATCTTGTGGCGTCCGTCTGTTAATAATCAGCGTTACGCATTCACTCCCCTTCTGGACGACAGCGAAGATGAGAATGATCAAGGTTGGCGAGTTTAATTGTGGTATTCATTTTTTGGCTTTTTTTGTTGAATCCATCCAATGTTTTCATTAGAAATGTAGGATGTGAGCAACAACATGAAACGAACTGAAGTACAAATTTTGGAACATTTTTTTCATAGATGAAATTTTCAACGCTTTCTCCGCTCCTGGTTTTGAACTGCTCAAACAGCGTGAGTCTGGAAGTGCTGCTGATATTCGCCGCCAGAAAGAAAAAGAGCGTGAAGACCATAGGCTGCAGGTTAGATTTAATCGTGATTACAATCATTTTTGTGTAAGAAAGTTGGTACGCTTCACTTTTAAAACCGAAAAAGTTTTTGTCTCTTGGCCGCATTCGCTTTCGTTAATACGAATACTGCTGAAGGGAATTTCAATCAGTAAACATAAGCACACTGATGATGGCTCATTTTATTTTAACATTACCCCATTCTGTAAAGAATATGAAAAGTTGTGGGTCTGGGTTTTTTCCATCCAGAAGCTTTTGTTAACCTGCGATAACATGGATTTCGTGTAAAGGTACAATTTTATGTTTCAAATCTCTAATGTGTCGAATATTCAAAAAATCCGAAGCTTCAAATGCCTTGCAGCCTCATCGTGTCTTAGGTTTTTTTTCTTTCGAAATGCGATGTGCAAAGAGGGTTCCTCCCCAGCAGGATCTCCCTAACTAGAAATATGTTCGACATCCTTTTCCAGAAGCACTGTTAAGGGAGAAATCATGTCAGGAATCAGTGCTATGTAGTAACCTAGTCGCAATGTGGCCAACCTCCATTTCCATAAGGATCTTCTTGTTGTGTTGACAGCCTAGGAAAGCATTAGCAAGGCTACCTCGTGACTGCAAAGAAAGAAAATCTTGCTCGACCAGCAAATTATCATTCAGATGGAAATTGTATTAGGACCGTCATGATTTTTATATGAATTGGCCGGTCAAGTAAATAAACTCGTTGTGGGCTACAATATTTTATAAACATTGAAAGATTTCTTATAGGATGATTTGCGATGGATTGATGACCACATTCCGTCTTCGTTCGCTGAACATTTGATTGTGGACGAAGACGAAGACAAAGAAGCTCGTGAGTTGGAAATCAGTAAGATGTTGTAGCTGTTCAATGCTGAGACAGTTTACTGGAGGAGCGAACATTGTGATAATTAACACTGGTTTAACTTTACTCTTTTCTTGGTTATGACTATTTCACGAAGTGACTTGATCCTAACCGCTTCTTTTGTTTCTTGAATTCTTAGTGTGTTTAGCTGTTCGAATAACAGCAGCATAATTTCGTACGGATTTATTTTAACCGTTTTATGTTCGCTTTATGGTGAGCATGTGTGCTCAACTTTTACAATAAACTGGGTAAAATTATGAAGATTTTTTGTATTCCATGAGACTACTGCAGCATAATGTGGTCTTTGTAGTATTGTTTTTGCCGTGCTGCTTATTCTTTCCTCCTCTGATTTTGCAGTGTTTTGCTTCGCAATGTATATATCAAATGGAAACGGCACTACCTCTCCTTTTCACATTTGCTAATCGTTTCGCAAGGTCATGATGTGATGGAAATAAATAATCCTATGGTAGGAAGAAATAACTGCTATTATCGTGAATTATGTAGTAGGAATTTAGTAAGCGAGGTACTACTATAAAGAATGAAGTCCTTGTTGTTCTAGTTATTCTCGGATCTAGCACGTACATTGTGAAACACGTGTTCAGAAGGGATGGACTTGTACTATGCTACATACATTCTTGAAAGGGTCACTTTTTTAAAAAATGATAGGTGGGACAAGCGTATTTATTGATGTTGAATCATTTGTAATAAAAGCATTTGTTCTCAAGACGAAGTGTATTCAATTCTCTTTCGATCGCACTCGGTGAAATTGGTGTTGTGCTCACGCTAAGCGTTTGTGAGGTCATGTGACCCATAACTTTTTCATGTTTTTTATTTCATTTTACGCATCTCGCATCTGCAGTGTTGGTTCCAGCACTTCTTGAATTCGATTCGTTTTCCTCCCATTTATCGTCTACGAAGGTGTTTCAACGTTTCGCTTGTTGATTCACCTACTGCTTAAAAATTTCGTATTCTTTATGACCATCGTAGAATGCTCATCGAATAGATTCTCCAAATTTTGGAGATAGTCGAGCTAGGACGTTCTCACGTGAATTGGGGGAGACCATTGAGGAGGTGGTTGAATCAGTACCTTGCTACTTGATAGACTGCGTTAGTAGTCGCAGAGCTGCCCTTTCGTTACTTCATTGTGCTTAATCTAATATCTGTCCAACGCTTAGCGCAGCCACTTAACACTATTCAGGAACGATTGTGAGCACCTTTAAGGTGATATCTATCGAAGTCAATGATATCTTATGATCTAGTTCGTTACATATCTACGCCATCGAATCTCATCAGGTGGTCAATCTGTGTCAAACATTCGATTTGTAATTCGCTGAATCACAAAGGTGTGTTATCTGTTGGTGGACCAAGGGCTATCCATATTGTTAGGTGAGTTGGTAGTGGTACTTTCGTAGATAGCAGATATCGTGGTACTGAGCAGATTTTGTGTGAGAAATTTGCAGAATCTAGGCGACTGCTTCACATCTGAAAGGCATGGAAGAGTACCGGAATGGCAACCATTTTTATAAAGGAGCTCGAAAGTCAGCTTCTGGTTTTTTTTTGGCCACCTCTTTTAAGTTCAGCGAAGATAATTTTGTATTCGGATAGCCTGGTCTCCTAGTACGCATTTAATACGCAGCATTTAACCAGTGGGTATTCACGAACTAGACAATTTTCTTTATTTGTGCCATAGCTGATGAATAAAGTGGACCTACTCCTTGCTGGGCAGTTGCCATCAGAATGCCTTACGTTTTGAGTCTATCACGTATAATTTTATAGTCGACAAAATGTTACAGAAACTGCGCTTGCTGCAGGCTTTTATATTCAGGGTTAGCTATGTTTCATGTAAGTCTAGAGTCTAGTCTAGGCAAAATGAGTAAAGTCATATATCTCATGTGTCAGAGGTATCGTTTTTCATCGATCAGCACAACCATTGTTTTTATTCCTATTTGTCCCACTCGGTAGGTCCTTCGCTAGCTTATCCCACGTGATAGTGCACATTATAAATTGAGACATATTAATAGCTGTCATATTAAACGATAGTTAGTAGACATGTAGTTCTAGTCTTAAGTCTGTTTGTAAGTCTATTAAGTTTCCGACCGCTGAAGTACTTTGGTTATCAAAAAATCATCGGAAGTTATCAGCAGATCACCAACAACCACTTTATCAAGCATATAGCGTTCAATTTTTTGCAAGGAATTGGTTATTGTTTCATTTATATTCATTAGGTTGGGTGACGATGGCCGCATGGAATGAGCGGATATACAAAATATCAAATGATTTCCTATCTGTAGGTGAAACCGCTGTGAAGAATTTGAGAGCAACGGTACTTCGTGAAGAGTGTGGTCTTCATTGTGTGCTGACTTATTTAGAGAATCGTAGGTTGGACGAATGTTGCTTCATAACACACAGTCACTGGTTGTTGCTTTAGAACGTGAAATATCACAAGTATTTATAATTGTATAAATATAAATAATAATACGTAAATGTATAGATATAAAAATAACGAATATAAGTAGATATTTATAAATATATGAATACCAATAATACATGTCAGAGCATAAAGGATACGTATAATATGGGAAGCGCGGAAATTATCGTTAGAACACATAGAAAAGTCCAGTTATAGGACGAAAAGTGCAACGGGCGGGTCCAGAGGTCATTTTGATAATAGTTCTACGGCAAAGTCCGATATTCTTCCGACAACCGCAGTAGATGAAGAATTAATTGTTGGAATAACTTCCAGAAAAGATTTTGTTCTATTACTATGGTTATGTGTAACCTTCTCACTTGCCATTTCCATCTGTTTTATTTAAAAATGAATTTTTCTGGATTATCGAAATCCGAAAATTTAGTAAAAACAAACAAGTAGGCGGCGACATTCGAAGAGCTGTTGTCCTGTGCACAGCATCTTGTCCCGATGGACGAAATATCTATTTTTGGATGCACAGAACTTAAACTTTCTGGGATACTTGGATGGCACATCTTCACAGGTGGTGGAAGCCTCAATATAATTTGCATTCGCGAGGTTTTTAAACAGCATACATTTACTTCCATAAAAAAACACAATACAGTACAACACTAGCTGACGTTTCGGCAGTATCGCCTTCTTCAGAGCCTGGAAGTGTATACCGATATACAATCTACTAGGCCAAACGCTTCAATAATACTTACAAAAAGACGAAAAGCTCTATGGTAATTACATGATCAACAACTTCTCAAAAAACTCACTGCTTTTTTCGTGACTTCCAATGAGGAGGTTTAGATCAGCTGATTGTAGTCGCATATGGTCGATGACTGCACCATCCCACATCAGAAATCGACGCCAACATACGCGGTCAGGTCGCGTACGACCTCCGGGCATTCGTCCCTGCTATTCATTGCTATTCATTCATTCATAATTCACATGTCTCAGCTTCAAGAAACAACCGCAAACGAATTCCTTACGCTTATGTTGATAGTCATGACGCTTCCGAAAACTAAACAATCAATGGGTCAGTGTGGCAAAGGCTGTGGGTTTAAAATCATCGGTTATTTTGCACTTTAAAATCGATAGACCAACATGTCCCGTCCTATATCTACTTATTAAAGCACATAAGTTGGTATCACCTGATGATCATGCGTCAACCAATCCGTCATCATTTAAGGTTAGACCGATCATCAGCTGTGTAAACGGACCAACGGATACAATAACCTGGTTTTTAAGCCTGATACTTACCCAGTTGCTTAACCACATTCCAGCTCACCTCACAAACACCCAAATGTTCCTAGAACGTCTACGTAATGCTTCTTCTAATAACGCGTACGTGATAGAGTCTTTCGACGTTACTGCACTGTACACTAGCGCGTCGAATGACTCCACAATGCAAGCCATCTTCGAACTTCTTGTTGAACATGAAGGAAGAATAAATATGCATGGCTTGCCCATCCAGCAGCTAATGGCTCTCTTAAAGGAGTGCCTAAACTGCTCGATTTTCAGATGGTCTGGGAAATATTTCGCGCAAATAAGGGGGTTGGCAATGGGACAGCGATTGGCACTAAGCCTTGCCATTGTGTTTATGTTTAAGATAGAAGCCCCTGTTCTCGATCTCCGGCCACTACTCTACTGCAGATATGTAGATGATTGTTTTGTCGTTTTCTCTACGCAGGAGGAGATGGACAAATGCTTTGAATTATTGAACGAGCAGTCTGAGTACATAAAACTCACCCGGGAGAAACCGAGAAAAAACTGGCTTCCGTTTTTGCACGTTCAAATAAACCTATCAAGTAGCAGTTACCTGACAAAGTGGTATCAAAAGCCAAGTAACAAAAACATTCTTGTTCATTTCCTTTCTTCCCACCCTTCGCACACAAAGAGGGCGATTGTGAGAAACGTGTTTCGAACAGCCACCTCTGTGTGCACTATCAGGGAACTAAAGGAAGAGTCGTGTGACTTGGCTCGGCAAATAGCCATCTCCAATGGCTACGAAATTGTAACCCCACGAAATAAGTTTGGAAGGAGAGCGACGCGCCCACGCGAAACACTTGGCCAAAAGAAAGTCCCGTTTATGTTGCCTTTTACAAGCGACGAAGTAAGCGCAGCTATAAAACGATGCTTAAGAAGGGCAGGTCTAGAGGAATCGGTAGCGATAGTTGAAATACCACCGGCTACTCTGAGTCGTCAATTAGTTCGTAACCGCCTGTAAGACCGTCTGCGTGAAGCAACAAATTGCGTAATTTACCCTTATGGCAGGGACGGCGATTGCATAAGTTCAGGTACGATGTACCTGATCTCTTGTAATAATTGCGGAGATGAATACATTGGCGAAACGGGCAAACCTTTGTGTATCCGTATAAAAGAACACCTAGATGGAAAACGAAAACTAAGATGAAGCACCACACTAGGCACGCATCGGATACAAAAGCATAGCGGAGACGATTTTGAAGCAAAAGTCAATATCCTTGCACAGGAGTCTAAAACACCAGCGCGAAAACTTTTTGAGGCTTTTTGGATAAATGCCAA